CCCTTCTCCTCCCACCCTCTCACACTCCTTCTCCCTTTATTTGGCACCAATCAAATATAAAATAAATTTTTCGGTTTGCTGAAAAAATATCTATAACATATGTCTTTTCTTCGCTTTATCGAAAAGACAACTTAAAAATGATATAATTTCATTTTTTAATTTTTTTGTGACGTCTGGATAATTTGTATATAAAATTAAAATATATAATTATAATTTTTTTTTCCTTCTCGCTTTTAGTTTAAAATTAATTTATAATATTGTTTTTGCTATTCTTTTATGACAACAAACTATGCTGTATTTTTGCTGTGTCTTTGCTATTATCTTTTGAGTTGGCAACGTATGCTCCATTTCTGCTGCGTTTTTACCGTCATGCCGTGCTTGCAGATAAGCTAGATTTCTGACGATTTTCTGCCGATATAGCATGACGTCATGTTATGTTCAATTTTAGTTTAATTTCTGTAGATTGAGCCAACACATAATGCTTAAAATCTATTGTTCTTATGCCAAGAACTTCTGCTTAAATTTTGTAGCATTTTTTGTAGTAATCATGACGCGGAGCCTGCTTGTTTCCTGCTGCATTTCTGCCGACACTAATTGAGACAGCAAACCATGCTCAATTGCAGCCGGAGTTTTGTCAATATAATAGTGCACAATTTGCAATACGTGATCTTGCAGACTTGGCTATCTGGGAAGTATGTTACCAAATTCAAAAATCTTCGCGAAATTGTTCTCATTCGTCATAATTACCGTCGAACGGAGAAATTTGATGGGCGGAAGATGCGATAAAGAAAACGCGGACGCTTCCGCGTGTAGCCTTGTCGAGAAAAAGGATGAATTTGGACTCACGACCGGTTCCAATTCCTCCAAGATCTCCGGCATGTGATCCAGAGCGTTTTGATAGGCTGCGGAAGTCGAGTCGAAATGATTGTCCTTGAAGTAGATAAAGGACGACCGGGTTGCTTCTGGGATCCTCTGCGAAAACTGTATGTCCGTTGAAGAATTGACTCCAGTATTCCTTGAACGTTGAGATCCTCGAGCGCACCTTAGCCGGGGTTAGATTGCTCATGTCGATTTTTTTGAAATTATCGAGGTAGCGTTCGATCGACCGCTGCAGCTGCTGTTGAGGTACGAACTGCTCCGACATCGTGGATGTATCAGAATATCACTCACTCGCGAAGTTATCCTTCACACACGCTTCTATCCGGCTCGAAGGACCAATATGTTCGGGAGTCGACCTCGACGAGATCGCCCGAATCTTTCAGAATCGCTCAGAGATGAGCAAGAAACTGTGTGTAGCGCGAATCCGAAGATCCGCTGGAGGATAAGAATAGTTTGAGAGAACACTCGAGTGCAGATTGTTTTAAATATTCGTTTATTTGAGAACAGTAGGAGCGAGCGACGGCACGTATCCCGCGACTCCGACGGAGATCTTCAAAATGTCCTGTTAATTACTGCCCTTTTCCGCGTTTCGGAAATCTTGAAGAGCTTCTTGCTAGAAACTCTCGCGAGGACGAAAATCTTGCACGCGGACGCCGGATGGAATTTAGCGCGAGGCAGAGGACATTCGCGATACGGGTAACGAGCGTCGACTCTCGGACTCCAAACAATTAACGTTCACAATATCTTAGCACAAAAGAATTAAAGAATACGATTTGAGAGATTACCGAATTGACCGCTGCGAGAATGTGAACGCGATCGGATGCGAGACAATTCGGAACGATTTTGAGACGAGTAAGCTACGGTAATTCCGACACGCGCGAGAATAAAGAAAGAGAATCGATCGAGATCGATGAATGTCGACCGGCTCGAATCTTTGTCGTAGACAGACTAAATCGGTCGACCGCGGAAGCTCGCGCTCTGCTGATGGAAATAATAAAGTTTTTCGACATCGAACCTTCGAGAACTTGCTGTTTGTCACAGTTTTTCATGTGTTATGAAGCAAACAAGCACGCACCGATCAGCTGAACGTAGTGTTATTTATTCTCGCTCGGTCGTGTTTTGAGTTAGGCTCTTATTATTTTTATTTAACGGCGACGACCGTTTGAATTTTGAACATTTACTCTTACGCAATAATCGTCGTCGACAATTTTTACATTCGTATTTGTACAATCTAACACGATATCTTTTAGTCTTTTTTTCTCTGTCGTTCCAAAATCTATTTCGCACTCGTCTAAAATCGATTCTCTGCTAATGCCCGTATAACAAACATCTGTTTGTAGAAGAAGTTGAGTAAATGTATTTGAATTTGTTTTACATGGTCGATAAACCAATGTTAATTCGTGTTCTTCCAAAAAGTCACGATCAATTACCAAATCTATATCCGAAAAATTTGGACCGACTACATGAGAAGTGAGCCGAAAGACGCGTTCCGGAAAGTTTTCAAAAGTTTTCAATCGTGGTATTAATTTTTCCTAATACATTAATCTGAGTTTTCTGAAATGCATAGAATTTACGATTTACCGAATCTAACGCATCAATGAAGTCGACATCGCGATTCGCTCCTTTCGCTTGAGAATACGACAGTCCGCCATTCTGTGTCTTTTCCTTTTAGTAGAAGCACTCGATGTCGCGGTCTTTGCCATCACGTTGAGCTTAGACCTTGCTATCAAGCGCGAATCCTACTTCTGAATTAAGTGCGTTAACTTTTCGAGTGGGTCTATAGGCGTGGGTGTTACCGGTGGGTCCCATCCCAAATGCATGCATCTTTCTACCTTAATTAATCGCGACCACAAAGTCGGAACAGTTCCCTCCGAATCATGTCCGCGCTTCTCTAATTTTTCCCGTAACTGCTCCAGCGATAACCGGTATATTCATTCCACGGAAGCATCATTGTCAGAATCCATGTTTACTATTATACTCCGTCCAGCGAGAGAATAACCTCGGTCCGCGCATAGGCAGGCAAAGGCAAAGTGGGGAGAACATGGTACTCAATACGTAGATACGGCTTCCTCGGGTCCGGGATTATTATTTCAGTTTAGAAAATTAAATGGATAAAATAATCTCGATTAACTTCAATGTAATATAAAATCGAAATCTTACACGCGATACAAAATTAAAATAAGGAATAATATGATAGGCAACTACAAGAGCAAGAGTTGTAATATTAGGTGTACAAATAAGTTTCCACCGTTTTTTATCAAAAATTGGGCATTTATTGTGAAAGAACGGAACCTAATCTGACAATTTTAACCATAACTTACTGGTGGCGCCAACTTTTGTCAAACGGCGGAAATTTATTTGTACACCTAATATTTAAATTACACAATCGGGGGAACCTGTCACTTGTTGCTAGCACTGACAAGCTGCACGAGCAATATGGTGATGTGGTGGGGGCTTTCTAGGCGTTCTGTGGGAGGCGATCTGCGCGAAACGGACGAATTTTCGTCCGATCCAAGATTATTCTCTCGCTGGACGAAATATAAAATTCAAACATGCGAATTAACCGTTACTTAACGGCAAGACAAATATACGCAATCGAAATTTATTGTTCTTATGTGCTGTGAACCCTCGACGACACAAATATTTGTCACACCAAGTTCGAATTTTATTTGGAAGTCTCCGAGAGAAGCGAACAATAGGCCTTTTCCTTATGCGTCAACACGTGTGTCGATAATCAAACGCA